TGGTTCTGACACCTTAAGACAGCATTTCGCAGGGCGTGTAGACAACAGAGAGCTTCTGATAAATGTTTCAGGCAACAGGATTTCTATTCCCGGCACTGCGTTAAAACAAAATGGAGCACCCTTCTCTCCTTCAAGACCTTTCTCTTTTCCCTTCTTGCGTCTTGCCTTCATTCGTGAAAAAGAAAAAAAATTGGGAATCTGTTCAGTACCAGGCACCGCTCCGGGCCCTAGAGATACAGTGCTGAGAAGAGACAAGCCCTGCCCTCCAGGAGCTGAGGCTACAGCAAAGGAGGCTACAATCAAAGAAGCGAACGAGGGGAAGGAAATACGGGCGGTGCTGATAAATGCCATGAATCAAGGTAAACCAGGGTAAAGCGGCCCCGGGGAACAGAGAGCGGGGCAGGGGCCCCTCTGGACAGGGTGGCCCCAGGAGGCCTCTCGGATGGGATCCAGAATAAAGGCAAGTGTGAGCCATGCAGGTCTCTAGGGGGAAAGCGTTCCGGATGGAGAACGCCGCGTGGGCAAAGGGCCTGAAGCTGGAGTGCGCTCAGGGTGTTCACTCAAGGTGGGCCCGGGTAGGAAATCTGTTCATAACATTGTATCCCCGGGAGCCCATCTTTGATTCAGCACCTTGCAGGACTAGAACCAGGGTAGGGGCCGAGGGGAGACAAGTGAGACAGATGGCTAGGGAGGCACTCACTTCCCTTCTCCGCAGCCCCCGAGTCACGCCTGCCTCTCCTCCTCCTGGCCTTGGCCTTGCTAGAGCCCTTTGCAACAAACGCCAGGAACAGGTCTCTAACCGGAAGCGGAAGGGACTGTGGCTCCCATTCCCCAGGTCCCCCTGCTCGGAGGGCGGGGGCGGGGTGACAGGGCCGAGCCTAGCCACACTGGGGCTCCGGCCACCGCGCAGGGACTACAATCTCCCGGGGCCCGTGGCGCTTTCTGGCCCCCATTCAGCTCTAGCAACAACCTGTGCAACATAAGATGCCGCGCTGGCTGCGTGTGTCACGCTGGAGTGTAATTGTCTGTTTGCACATCTGCCTCTCCTTCTGGAATGCGAGCTCCATTAATATCAGTAGAGTATTAAAATGAGATCTGACAAGTGCTGCTTTTGGAGCTTTCTTACGAGCAGGTGGGGACGATCCCGCCACGGCCCCGGGGGGATTTCTCTGTCCTAAAGAAGGAACTGAGGTTGGGGGTTGGTGGGGCGGGGGCGGGGCGGGTAGGGCCTTGTCCAGTGACACCACCACCTAAGCAGAAAAGGCTGGGACCCAGATCTGCCCCCTTTGGAGGCCAGTCTCTTACCCCTGCCTCCTGGGGCTACCCGGAGCGGAGTCGCATGACCTGCTGAGGTCACGTGGGGTTTCGGGGAGGGTAGCCCCGATTCGCCACTCCATTGACTGTGTCTTCACAGTGGCCTGGCTCTCAGATGGGGCGGGACGGCCAATGCAGGGGCCAGAAGGGCACACGGGGAACCCAACGTGGAGCGACGGAAACTGCGAACAGGGAGGCCTGGGTTTGGGATCAGGGAAGCTGGGCGGAGGGGACAGCCCATTCCCTCCGAGGCTTGCCATCGGAGCCTCATAAAGAGCTGCAGGCTCCCAGATGGTTCCTGTCCAAGGCCAGGACGAGCCCTCAGTGACTGTGGGCTCTAAGCCTCAGGTCTGGAGGGAGGGTCGCTAGCTAGGCAGGGAGGGAGAGCCAGATGACAAGGCAATTTTCTGACACCTGTACCAGGAGAGGACCGGGTCAGTGCCGATCAGCACCTGCACCACAGGTGAGAACTCACCATCCCAGACACAGCCACACACAGGAGGGTTCATGGTCAAGGAGGTTTCGGCAAAAGGAAAGCACAGAAGATCTCCTTTAGATCCGGCTAACATCTCTCCGCTTGCTGTTCCACAAGATTCCATCGCCTTCCGAATGCCTTACATCGGTTCTTTGTCTGAAAGTTCCTCCCTCACTTTCCTTGCTTCTCCCGCCCACACGCCTCCAACAAGGTTGAAGTCAGTTATCCAGTTCAAGTTTCTTGCCCTACCGCTCAGCAGTGACCTGGGCAAGTTATGTGGCCCCCACAGGACTCAGTCTCCCCACATGTAATGTGGAGATGGGAATCATCACAGGGTTCTAGGGCTTTGTTCACCACCCACAGCCCACCTAGGGCGGGTGCCCCCCGATGGGGTGAGGTGACACCATGCTTCTTGGCCTCCCGGACCAGCATTCCTTCTCACTTCCCACTGTCTGGCTGAAGAAAGAAGGTCCCGGATAAGAGCGGGGTCTGATATCTGGAAGTTGGTCAAGGAGGAAAGGATTTAGAGATGACTGGGGATCTGGAGCCAGGAGACCCACATGGCACCCTTCTCCCGAGGCGGAGGACAGAAAAGCAAAGAGAAGAGATCTGCGAAGGCCCCCTACTGCCAGGACCCCTCCTCCCCACCTCCCCACCTCGCCCCTGCCGCCACGGCCCAAATCGGGCTGGTGGGAAGGGAAGGCTGAGCAGGCAGGGGTCAGGGGAGAGGGGCTCATCCACCAGCCAGGAGGCAGGGAGCACAGTCAAAAGAGCCTAAAAGACCTGAGTTCTGGTCTCCACTGTGCTGCCCACCAGCTCTGAGACCTCAGGCAGGCTGTCCCTCTGTCTGTACCTCAGTTTCCTCGTCTGCAAACTGAGGGAGGAACTGGATCTTGGAGGCCTTCCAGCTCCAATCAACCCCAAGTCGGATGTTAACCAAGCCCAAATCTTGCCACCTTGGTTCCTGGTACAACTCAACACCATTTCACCGAGAAGTGAATCTGTCAATTAATCCGACACCGGC